ATGGCATTCTCGGATTAGTCCTAACCACTAGGGGACAGTAAATGTGCTAGTAGCGGTAGATTGAGTTTAGATCTCCCTTGTCATCTGCTGGTGGGTCATCTAATTGGTACTCGGGTCAGTTATTCCCTGTCTTGTTATAATGGATATGCATTATCATGATTTGGAAATGCAAGCTTGTGGCTAAGATATGGTTTGAGCTAGTTAAAGCTTTTGATGTATGCTATTGTTCTGAATTGATATCCATTCATCTTACTCCTTTGTCACAATACTATTCATTGGGCTTTGGCTGACCTTTCTCCCGTATATGTGGCATGAAGGGTTTTGCTTGTTGAAGCTTGTATATATATATGCACTAAGACTCTTTTGAAGTGCAAGTTTGTGTTTTGAAGTTTGTACATATATTAGAAGTACTCCTCATAATGTTTAAGAGATGTAAATGCTAAATGTTTGATTTCATAAACTTGCGCACTTGGTCAGAGTGGATGTGTTATAAATGATCAAATCATAGAACTTAATAGTTTCCACTACTTAAAAATGGGTTCTGCCCCAATTTCCATAGGAGTACCATATGTTTGGTTTAGATAAGCCTTGGGTAGTCCATGACTACTGGCCAGTCACAACTCCATCTCAGTTTGGGACGGGATAGAGTCGTGACATTGAGGCTACAGAGGTAGGAGTTGTGAGGGAGCAACCTTGGAGTGGCAGGACTTTGGGTGCTCAGATGGATCGTCTTGAGGCCCAATTTTAGTGTCATGAGCATAGTTGTGTGCCTAGTTCTTTGTTGAGACTCGCAAATAGCTTGCTAGCATTGTTCATTAGCTTCAGACTATCACCAGTTATCTTTAGCACCTGTTTCCTCTTTAGGGTGTCCAGTAGCTCACTTTGTTTATTTTTGAGTTAGATTCAGTTTGGTCTATGGTTGGATAATTTGGGTATTAATAATTTTTTTTGTACCTATGTTGGTTGCGTATACTGTCATATCCTATTATCTGCTGCTACCTTGTTTTGTCGACTTTGTATTCTACAGCAAAAAAAGGGGAGTATAGTGGTTATTATTATGGCTTATATCTAATGTATCTGCTTTTATATCTATTACATTGGTCTAACAGTTGTTTTGCAGCTTCTCTGAGGACTTCACAACATTTCTTTTGTCTTGATTTGGTTTGGGATTAGGCTCGGCTTTTAGATGTGTTTTGTCACGAATAAGGAATGGGGGAGTTTGTTATTTCTAGAGTCTTTGGCCTTGTTTGGTTTGTGTTTTGAGATATTATTTCAAAAATAATTTTTTGGAGAGTTTAAAAAATTTGAAAATTTGTTTAGTTGTATATTTTGAAAATAGTTTTGGAGTTTGGGATGATTTGATTTTTTTTGTACTTAAATAGATGGGTGTGAGAGAAAAAGTGATTGAGAAGGAGAAAGGCTATGAAGCACAGGTGTGGGTACAATACGGGTACGCCGATGCGACAAGACTTAAAAAATAAGATACGGGTTTGGTTGGGGTACATCAATAAATTTTTTATTTTTTGTAATTTGTAGTTTGAGGTTCAATCTACAAATCAAAGTTCTATATCAAATCTAAAAGAAGAAATTATAAAACAAAAAGAGAAATCATAGTTCAACAATACTAATAGCAAAGCAAAGTCTATAAGCTGTTTTAATGCCATTAAATAGGAAAAATTACAAAATAAAGTTTCATTCCAAAAGTAAGCTACGTGAAATTTGAAAACTTGAAACTTTAGTTTTCGCTTCTATCAACTTCATCATTGAATAATATATTTTTCATCTCTAGCACATCAAATAAAGGATTTGCAATTTCAAGTAAATTAGAACTCTCTAATAAATTAAACGTATCTCCACTAATGTCCCGTAGTTTGGTGTACTCTAGATGTACCAATCCTGTACGCATGAAGTATCCATGGAGTACAACTGCCAAAGAATGTATAAAAAGTACCTGGTATGTATTTCGAGTATCCGGTATGCATGCAACCCTATCGGTACTAGTACCAGTATTCGGTACGAGTATGGCAACATTTTTGAAGTACCCATGCTTCATAGGAGAGAGGAGAGAGAAAAAAGTGATTGATTGATGTATAGTATAGAGAAAAGTGATTTTGGAATTTGTTCTCCAAAATTTTTGACCAAACATGTTTTTGGAATTTTTTCTCCAAAAACATGTTCTGAGAGATAAATTAAACTTGCCATTTGACTCTGGGTAGTTCTTTGGCAATTGCGTTTGGAAAAACAATTTTCGTATGTAATTCTTTAATTTTGACTAAATTGTAATTGTTCTAGTCTATAAGTTCTGTTCTGGTTCTTAATTATGATGAATCCACATGTCCTGAACTTAAGGCTTAGTGTATTGAGGTGATGAAGACTGCCACATAGGTAGAGTTAATGAAATCATTGCTCAAGCCATGAAGGGCGCACTCAAGCTTTCAAGGTTGGTCTAAACACTATCTGTTTCACAATTGTTGTGAGGAGAGCCCTATGAAAATTCAACTACAGCTTGATAGTTGATGGCTTTGAATATGGAGCCGAAGAACCATACAAATCTAAGAGAGAGAAACAATCACAAACTAAGAAGATACCAAGATATATGTGGTTCAGCCTTAGCCTACCTCCACGTGCAATCACAAAGAGAACAATGCTTTGAAGAGCTACAATGGTGACAAAGCAATCTCTCACAAATAACTAACCTCACCAAGCCTAAAATACAAGTTGGCTTATCAATTCACCTAAAAAAATTCTCTTACCAAATCCAAATGCTTTTTACACAAGTCTCACAAAACCGAAGTTTCAACCAAAAGACACTAAGAAAGCTATCTCGTAAGTAGACATCAATGGATCTAGTCAAACATAAATGAAGATCCCAAACAAAAGAGACAAGAACAAGTGATAAAATCTCACCAAATCAAGACTTCAAAGAAGCCGCCAAGAGTCTATGGAAGACCACCAAAGCAAGACCTCAGAGGCCACTAGGATGCTGAAGTTGCATCAAGATTTATAGTAGACCGTCAATCGAATATTCACGAATAGAATCTACTTCAAATCAATGAATACGAATCTTCCAAGATCAACAAATATGGGTCCATTGAAAAGGACCACCAAGTGCCCAAAGGCCACACAAAGACCCAAAGGCCAACCAACAAAACCCTCCCATGGGGGGTTCCCAAAGAACTAAAAAGTCCAACCAAAGACGTGAGAATCTTCACATATTTATAGCCAAATAATCCTTCCTAAAACTAATCCAAAATTAATAAGGAAAAACCCAAACCAAAGTTTTAGGAAGTCCAAACCAAGTCAAAATAGGTCTCTCATGAATCCAAACCCAATAGTAAACAAATTACTTCAAAACCAAATTAATTTGGGAGTGGACATTGAGCCAAAATCCAACATTTTGATCCAGATTTAGAACTAACCGACTAGGGATTTGTCTTTCTAAGGAAGAAAAGTATCTTTGAGATTATGGAGAGAAAGAACTTAGATTTCTTGAAGAATTGAGAGACCAATGGATTTGTGGTGATGGATTGAACTCTTCAAGGTCTATTACACTTCAAACCGTTCATAGCTTACTCATGGAAGTCCTTCGGTGGTTGTCAAAGGAATTTGGGAGTTTGTTGTTGGATTTTATCGAGGTGACTCTAGGCAAGGAGATCTAACACTGGGAGTGATGTTGGTTCATCTAATCGATTGTAAGCAAATCACTCATTGGTTATAGTGTTTGATTCTCCGACATTGTGCCTGTGGTTTTTTTTGAATTGAGGCCACGGTAAAATTGCTTGTCACTTGTTAGTTTGTTTGTTTACTTTTGCAATTTTGATGATGGGATTGATTCTTATCTTATCTGTAGAACTAGGTTAGTAGTTCTTAATTAAATCTGCATTGATTTGAATAGTTTATGTTCTTTGTGTTGGTTGTGTTGACCTCCTAGCTAATCCATATTTGTGGTTATTTGGGAATTTTAATAGGCAAGGGAAAACATGGTATGTACATATTTAAATACTTTGGTCGAAAGAAAAAAGAAAATGAAGTCTGTGTGTTATGTTGTACCCTATTACCTGTTTGATGGTATTTTATGTTTCTTATATTAATTCTTGGGGAAATTACAAAAAAAAACCTCCTAGGGTTTGACCCTTTTAACAAATTAAACCCTAAGTTTTTAATTTTCTCAATTTAAACCACAAACTTTTGATTTATTTTCAATTTAAACCATTTGCCTATTTTCGTTAAGTAAAACCATTGGAAAAATGGAATTTTAGTCATTAAATTCAATGAAAAATGGTATTTTGGACATTTTATGTATACTTACATTTAGTTTAATAATTAAAATACTTTTTGCTGTTGATTTTACTTTACAAAAATTGGCAAATGGTTTAGATTGAAAGCAAATCAAAAGATTGAGGTTTAAATTGACAAAATTAAAAACTCAGGGTCTATTTTGTTGCAAGCCTGAAGCCCTAGTTTTTTTTTTTTGGTGGTAATTGTCCCTTAATTCTTTATTCATAGGCATTGTATGTGTCACATATTGAATATCCTTACCCAAGTGTTGAGTGCCCAACATGAACACTTCACAAATTTAGAATTATTCAAAGGCATTATATGTGTCACATATCGAATATCCTTACCCAAGTGTTGAGTGTCCCACACGAACACTTAGCAAATTTAGAAGAATCCATGTAACGTATATGTACTTACGTATGTATGTTTAATGCATATGAATAAATGTTTAACTTGCATTATGGTGTGCATTCTATAGCACAAGCACCTTTTATGGCATAGGCTTAGTAGCCTTCCTTGATGACATTCTCTCTCTAACATCTCTTCCCATATATTCCAGTTATTGTTGATTGACGAGGGCTTCAATCATTTGACATTATTTGTTTCATACTACATCTTTAAACGTGACAAACAAATTTTCATATGCTTGTTGCCTACATTTTCATGACGTTGTGTGTTGTGATTAATAGACAGTAGTTAATGTCTCCTTTTTGTTGTTGTAGGTATGATTTGGATTCAGGAATTCATGATACTCTTGGAAATCATGATGATTTAGTGAGCTGTGTTGAATATTCTGCTGAAACACGTAAGATCTGGTACTGCCTAAGTTCTTATGTCATGTGCATGTGTGTGAGTTATCATGTCAGTGTTGGGATGTGTAACTTATACCTGCATTGTGATTTTAGGTATGCAAATGGCCATGTTTAAATAGGTAAAACTAGGTGTTTTCTATTTTTTGGTACACATTTTATCCTTTGAAATTTAGAACTTTAGCATTTAACTATATATTATCAGTATCATCCTTAAGTAGTGCATTCGTGGCGCATTTTGGTCATCACTACTTGCTTCAAGTCAAAAAAGAATAAAATATCAATGAAAATGATATATCATAACCTGACAAACATGGAAATTTCAGTGGATATGTTTCCAAGCATCAACACATTTCAAGTAAATATGGAAGCTAATAAATGTTAAAAAGTATCGTGTATAATATCAATGTATCAAGGTGAGGGAAATACAAATTGATGGATATTGCAAATTGTTGGACGTGCCTTGCTTTCTGCGAGACCCATACAATCATTATTTTTTAAATGTACTTGGATTAGGTTGTAAAGTCTGGAATTTGCTAGGAATCCGTTATATGAAAGCTTTTAATAGTTGTATGGGACTAGGATTTATTGGGTTTGCCTATAAATGGAGAACTTGTGAGATTGAGAGGGTTTGTAGAGACGTAGGGGAGACAGAAATTCTGGGGGCATCGAGTGTGACCTGGGAAGATGGTGTTGCTTTTTGGGTATCAGTTATCCTTGAGCGGGGACATGGGTGTTGTTCTAGGAATTGGGTATTGGTGTCGGTTTTTTCTTGGGTGTTTTTCATCTCATGTTTATGTACTACCGTTTATAGTGGATTGTCTCTCACTCAATGACGTAGACAGGGTTGGGCTGAACCATGCAAATTCTGTGTATTTTTCTTTTCAGTGTGTGCGTGGTGTGCTTGTTTTTGTGGTTGTGGGAGGTGCAATAATCCCAACAAGTGGTATTAGAGTCATTGTGGTCAACCTGAAATCATGGAGATTTAGAGCATGGGAATTTTTTTTGGGTCTCATTCAAAAAGATCAAAAATTTTGATTCACACAAAAAGAGAATATCATAGTGGTTGATCAATTGAAAAAAAATCGAAATCAGTGAAGGATGCAGACATAATGAACAAGAGTGTTATTTGTTTGTTGGACATTTTTCTTTTGCTGTTAGTTGGGTTAATAGCATGAAATGATGAAAAAAGAAAAGATTAGGCTTACAAACAATGAAGGCTAGTGCACGAAAGGATTATTGTGTTGAGGTTGTAATGGGTTGTGATTTAGTGCCACACATGTTCTGATTTCACAGTTTCAAATTTTTCTGTTAGATGAAAATATATGCAATAGAAAGATTCAATGTATAGGTGTTTCTAAATGTGTTTTAGCATTGTGGATTCACTGGTTGGTTCAGATTTTTCAGATTCTGAACAGTTTGACAAGATTGGACAAATTCGACAGAGATCATGATTGATCAAAGGGGATCGGGTTTGATTGCAAGTGATCAAGGGTGATCGGGAGCAAATTGGTTCAATTAGGGGTGAAAGACCAGTCATCAACAGGAGCAACTTGGATTTTAGTTAGGGCTGTTCAAATATCTGTCTGACCCGCCTAAAGCGATCGATCTGATCCAACCCGACCATGTACGGACGGTTTCTTCACTAATTTCGGTTGGCAGTGGTTGAAGTTACAAAAAATTTTCATTTTGGCGGTCGAGTGCCGGATTTAAAGAATAAAAAATCAATTAACCCGACTTGCCCGATGTATTAAACGATGCTTCTATCCACGCTTTTGCTTTTTATTAGTTGGAGATATTAAAATATTATTAACAGAAGGTATTTATTATAGTTTTATTTCATCTGCCAAGATAACCTAGGGAATAGACATCACTGCTACAACCTGTTCAACTTTTCAACTAGACGTCATAATTATACATTTGACTTATTCAACTCTTTAGCTGGACTTCATCATTACAAATTTTAACTTTTCATTTTTCACGTCTCTTTCAATACTTTGCTGAAGAAGTTTAGTTGGTAAAAACATCTCTCTCTATCACTCTCATTCTCATCTACTAGAGACTCTTAATCGTATCTTGCACCCTTTTCCACTATAATAATCCTCTTCCCATCCCCCCCTTGATTTTCCCCAAATCCCTCTTCTAGCCTTACTCCCTTCCAAAACCCTAATACGTTAGAATCACAGATGATGAAGGTGATCGTAGATGGTGGGTTTGTTTGGTGTTGCACCTGCTAGATCTAGATCTGCAACATCCAACAAGTATCAAGTCAAATAGATTGGAAGCCTAGATCGAGAGATGAGTTTGTAATTTTACTTTATTTTATTTGGTAAGGCGATAAGTTTGGATTTTTTCTTTCATGTTTTTTTGTGTGTATGATTTTAGTTTTTTTTGGGATGAGTTTGGATTTGATCTTTGACACATGTAATTTTCTTCTTCTCGTTCTTTCTTCTTCTTGTTTATTGTGTGCAGCCCAAATTGAGAAAACATGACCCGTCTGCCACCGACCGTGAATCCGAATAGTGTGAGTGGTTTGATTTCGAACAATGCATCAGTCGAACTCGGATGGGCATATGCTGAACCTGACATAATCGGTTCGAGTGATGGGTGTATGTCAAACCCGGTCCGATCCAACTCATAAACAGCCCTAGTTTTTGTTGTATGTGCAGTCAATCAGATGGCATTTTCTTGATCTAAATAGACGATTGGCAACCTATATGGGATTGTGGATAGTGTTATGATAGGTGGAGCGGTTATCAAACATTAGACAAGTGGTATGGGTGGACGACATACGTAGGTGTGCGTATGGGTGAACAGGGTGGGCTACAATTATAGATGCACACATAGGTACAAAGGTATGGGGATACTGTGTGAGTGTACAGGTGTGCGAGTTTTCAATTCGAATAGTGTGCATGATTCTTGTCACAATCCAACTCATAAACAGCCCTAGTTTTAATTGTATGTGCAGTCAATTAGATGGCATTTTCTTGATCTAAATAGACGATTGGCAACCTATATGGGATTGTGGATAGTATTATGATAGGTGGAGCGGTTATCAAACATTAGACAAGTGGTATGGGTGGACGACATACGTAGGTGTGCGTATGGGTGAACAGGGTGGGCTACAATTATAGATGCACACATAGGTACAAAGGTATGGGGATACTGTGTGAGTGTACAGGTGTGCGAGTTTTCAATTCGAATAGTGTGCATGATTCTTGTCACAATCCTAACCCCGTCCCTAGAGGTTAGAGTGGTGACCGACCAATAATCATAAAATTACTTACGGCCTCAGACAGAATTTCAAAATTATTTAAATAATATCAGGGTCCGAGGCAGAAACAGAATATAAATTTGTCCATTGAGCTGTACATGAATGACATGAACAGAAACAAACAAAACACTTCTTCACTTACTTAAAATATTTACAAACATTCACCTCATATACATAACCCAAGATCATTCATATATCATATAGGGACTTGACAAAATTAAGCTATACAAAGCTTGGCCAAAGGCATCAGCAAAAGCCTCAACACGGAGGCATAACTCGGGTGGCTTTACAAAAAGGGTTGAATGCAAGCAATCTCTAATGTGGGTCCTCCTGATGCATACCTACATATATATATATATACATATATATAAAAGAGTGAGTTGGAAGCCCAATGAGTAATCTCAATGTAAAGAGGTTAAATGAATGAGTTCTATATTTATAAAAACATTATTATCATATGCAAAACATCGTCTAGAGATAAATCGTACGTAAGTTTCATCTAAACTTCTCAGAGTTTAACAAATTATGTGGTACATCCAATAACATTAAACATATTTAAACTTGACAAAACGACCTCTGATCCAATACTTGACAACACATGACAGAACGACCTCTGGTCCAATATACAACAACTATACGGAACTCTAGTCCAACATATAGTGGAACGACTTCTGGTCCAATATATAGCGGAACGACCTCTGGTCCAACATATAGCAGAACGATCTCTGGTCCAATACACAATTCATAGAGAATTCATTTAAGGATGCCACGATAAATTATCAAATGGGAAACTCATTCATTTATAGCAAAACAGAATTTTAGCAAACATAACGGGGGTATTTGTTTGGATTTTTTTGAGCCAACTTATAGCTTCTATGTTTCAAAAAGCTATTTTGGACTGTTTGGTTAAACTTATTTCAAATAGCTTCTGATTCTAATAACTTATTTTAACTCAAAAAAGCTGATTTTAAGAAGCTATTCACCCCTTGTTTCTGATTTTCAACTTCTGCTGTGGACATGTTAATTTGCGATTATATTTTTAGATTTTTTTATTTTATATTTTTTTTAAAAAAGAAAAAGACCCAAATGGACTGTAGATTATTATTATTATTATTTTTTTATAAGAATTGTAGACAAGTAATGAATAACAAAAAATAAAAGTTAATTGAAAAAACTACTTCACAGTTTATTTAACAAACACTACTTAGCAACTTAAATCTATAATCCAACAGTTACACCAAACAGATTACCAGCTTCTGATTAAAGTTATAATTTATAATCTGTTTTAACAGCTATACCAAATGGGGTCAACATTTCATAACGTTTCAAATTAAACACTTACGAATACAATTTTGGAAAAACCCATCATATCATGATTCACAAGTATTTCAGAATTTCTTAGCATATCTTATCATTTCAAAAGTACTTATTTGGAAAACTTATCATATCATGAACAATCGGAAATTCATAGCGTATCTTATCGAATATTTTGTAGACAAAACATGGATTTTATAAATCATCATATAACATAGTCATCTCTAAAATCATTTATACGAAAATATCTTTACAAAGACATTACTCATACTGGGTTTGACTCGAATATTACTTCTCGGATGTCCAACCTACACATAGCACGCAAACATACACATTGAAACATTTTAAAACAAATATATAATGGCAATAGAATCCCTACCTCAAATTAGAGGGGGAAGAGAAAAGTCC